AATCCACCACAATAAAGAATTGGTTTCTGCATTTGGAGTGCTAGTATAATATTAGTCACTGACCAAAACCAAAAACTTTTTCAGCTGGATGATTTCATGCTGATTTTAACTTTTCCATGCATCTTTAAATCAATTAATTTCTCCTTGCACAGGACTGACATGGTAAAGTTTTTCTTTTATGAAGAAGAGAAACATGGCTAATGTTTATAATTTCTTCTTCAGGAAGGGATGTGGGTAACAGAAGCGAGCAGAGCTGAACTGTGAGATGCAAAGGGCTACAAAAATGGACAAATGTAGCTACAAGCAGCGGTGGCTGCCTGGACCAAAGCTCTGTTTATTCCCAGTCCATGGGCAGTGCTGCTGAGGCCAGCTAGAGGAGAGCAGGGCTCACCCCAGAGCAGCAGAGCATCCTTCGTGTAGCAATGATGCAGCACAGAGGTGATGGGGGCTGAGCAGTGCCCGGAGCCAGCACCAGGGGAGAACTGATTGAACAGGGGTTCTATGGGATCCAGGGGGTCTGGGTAGCATCTTTCCTCTGGGCTACAGTGCTACACCCAGGAATTCATGGTAGAGACAAAACCCACGAGTCTACAGATAATTATGCTTTTATTTAAGGAATCTATCTTTGCTGAGAAGCACAATGCACCATTCAGACACCACTGTGGGGTTGTAAAAGAGGCATTTTACCTGTAAGGGGTACAGAAAGCTGCTGTGAGCTTCTCTATAAGCATGACAGATCTCGGGTACCTGCTGGTGTGTTTGCAAGCTCGGCTCTCACTCTGCTCCTTAAGCAAGGATCTATTCCTTTCCCTGCTTACCTGTTTGCCAAGACTTGGGAAACAAAAATCTTCCCCTTTGCACTGTGCCAATGGGTGACTAACTCCCAAATCACTGCAGCTCCTTATCCAACAAAAATATCATGATCCAGCAATAAAGGAAAATAAGTTTATAGAGAAAATGTAATTAGAACTGGCAAAGCTGTTGTTTGCTATTCGGGAACATCCTTGACTATGTTTTCCTGTTGTTTACTTATGGACTTTATGTGTTTGGAGGAATGGGTCAGAAAGGGTAAAAGGGACAGTATTTTGCTTTGACCCCTCAGACACGGAGCCCCTCCAGGGACAGCCCAGAGACCCAACCTGGGCAGTGTGCTCAGCCCAGAGCCTGGGTGCAGACAGACTGCTGGAACCCATTATTAGACTCTGGGAAACGAGGCTGGAGTGTGGGAAAAGGAGGAGACTGCAATGCAGAATGCTAACTCACACCCAGGTCCTTTCCAAATTATGCAGTTTGTCCTGGTAATTTTCAGATCCATGTTTTCCTTTGTGCCGCAACTACCACATTTCCCTTTTCCCTGCCTTGTCCTCAGTGGCTAATTTTCTCCATTCTAGTTCAAGAGGAACAGCACAAATCCTTTTCCAGCTTCTTTGATGCATTTCTGCATCTATCATTCTCAAATTTAAATTTTCTCCCTGCTGTGAAGGATGCAGCACAGCTCAAGGCTTGACATCATCCTAGCTAATTTGCTTTTCTGGCTTTTGGTTAATAATTTTTTTTGCTAATGATTATGTAGTTTTTTCCTACCTTCCTCCTCCATCATCTCCTTTCTTTTCTCTCTCCTATAATCCCTGCCTTCCTGGGATGAAGGTTATTTTAGTCTGAATGCCTGTTGAAATTCATTTCTTTCGCCTACCACTCCAACTCTGATCCCTGTACGTTTGCAGTGTTATGTGTTTTTTCGATCTCTTCTTCTGCTGATTTCTAAAACTGGGAAGATTTTTCATTTGCAAATGGCTTCAGTTCTATGTCTTTATTCAAAGCACCAGCTCGCTTTCTATAAATTACCAAAGATTTCTGATAGAGATGTGGCTACAAAGCACTTCCACTGACTCACCAAGATGAAACCCCTGAATTTTCAAGTCTGTGAGGAAAACACGGTGATTGCATCCTAATTCTCAGAAATGCCATATAGAGTGCAAAGCACAAATTGGAGAAAAATGCTCTTGGAAAATGAGTGAGAAGCTATTTGAATGGAAATAGCACAGCGGATATTTAAGGCCACCTGGGAAATCAGTGACCACTTAGCCTGACTTCAGTAGGCTAGAATGTAGTAGCAGGGGACTGTAAAAAATAAGTATTTTGGGGAAATGAACCTGCTGAGCAATAAGCACCATGAGTTTGAGACATTAATCACATCTGACAAAAACTGTGGCATCTTGGGTTATTACAGGATGTGTGGGTGAAACTTACATGGTGGATGCAATCCATCTTTTCCTGAGTATTGTGTTTGATGCATTGCAATCTAAACCTCAGGATACTGCAGAAAGATGATGATGTGATTAACATTGGCTGACAGATCACATTTGCCAGTGCACAAACTTGTTAATGGAAGTAAGGGTGGAAGTGCAAATATTTGAGCAATAGCATTCAATAAAACTGTAAGAGGTAGAGGACTTTGGATCTCAACAAGAAATGATCTTAGACGAGGTCCCAAAAATATGTATTGGATCAGGAATTTTCAGGTTATTAATTTCTGGAACTACACTTTGATGAACGTGGTGCTGTGATGGGAAGTGGTGCACATGGCAGCCAGAAGGAAAACTAAAATAGCTGTTAAGTGCTCTGGTGAGAGTAGAAACTGATAGGAAATATTTTAAAATAGAAAGAAGCTATGTGGTATAGATGAGTGCTATGGAAAGATGACTACTGTGTTTCTTTCCAAGGAATCTCTGGGAAGTATTGAGATGCAGCAGTTATTTGAAATAGTGACCCATTAACAAAACCAAGTGCTCTGCAATCAAGAGGAGATTGCTGCAGAGCAGAAAGTGACCTACTTACAGCTTTGTTTCTGAAAGTCAGAGGTCCTTCAACTGATTAATAGTGCAGCATTAAATAATGCTCATACTGCAGCATTTAATGTTTTTATATGTCTCAGGCTGGTTTTAGAGCCCTTTAGTTTGCAAATACCCCTCAGGGAAAAAAAAAAGTCAGCATGAGAATAGTGAAAACTGAGTTGTTTAGAAGTCACCAATTTAACTTCAAGTGTGTATATTATGATTTAACAATAGAGAATTTTTACAAGGGTAATTTGGGTGGGATCCCTCTTACCCTGTGATGATGGAATTTGATTTCTGAAGTGAGATAACAATCCCCTTCTGAACTAGACCCTCAGACCTTGTTGCATGCAGAGGAGCAGATATAGTCTGTGGCATCTGCTGTGAGTTACTCAGATCACTCTAGGTAGGTGTCTGAAATGAGTCACCCACTGGAGCTGTTGAAATCACCTCGTTTTCTCCACTGCCAACGGGGCTGGCCCAAGTAACTAAACTTAGATATGGTAAATTGTTTTATATCTACACCATAAATCTACAAAGACTGTGGTTTTCAGCGTCTTCAGAACTGGAATATTTTATTTTTCAGCATTTTAAGACTCATTTTCTCACTACAGCTGCCACAATCATTGTGTTGATAAAATGTAGGAGCTGTGGTCATAATCAGTACGCTGAAAAACAGTCAAATCAAATTAGAACATGTCAAGAATCTACTTCTCAAAACTTTTCCCCAGTAGGTGTTCTGATTAAAAAACTTAATATGATTCTCACCAGTTATTTCTCATGACTCTCAGTTAAAACAGATTTAGATCTAAGTTCTGATCTTCATCAGGAGGATGGAAAGCAGACCTCAGATCTGTGGGATGAAATGCCTCCTTTTAGTGCCTCATCATTCTTTAAACATGTAGCAACAGGACTGTACTTGCTTGGAGGCATCAGAAACATCAGAGTTTACCATGTTAATATCTAATCCTCACCATCCCTTGACACATTTGAAAGTGTTCATGCTTCTTATGATGAAATAAAGGAAGGAGAGCAACTTTTTACCCAGGCATACAGTTCTAGGGCAAGGGAGAATGATTTTATACAAAAAGAGGAGAGATTCAGGTCATATTATAGAAATAATTCTTTGCTGTGAGGGTGGTGAGGCAGTGGAGCAGGTTCTCCAGAGAAGCTGAGGGTTCCCCATCCCTGGAAGTGTTCAAGGCCAGGTTGGATGGGGCTTGGAGCAACCTGGTCTGGTGGAAGGTGTCCCTGCCCATGGCAGGGGCTTGGAATGAGATAATTTTTAAGGTCTCTTCCAACCCAAACCACTCTATGATAATTATGAGACTCGATATTTTGCAGAATTTTAGAGTAATAAAAGTTTCAAGTCAAAATCTACCACATGTGTAGTTTTGGAATAAATATTGGGCTGTTGTCTGCCTGCAGCTCCAGCCCTGAAGGAGGCCTGAACTCCAGCACCCATGTTCACACACTGAGATTTCAGATTTCAGTCTCTTTTTGGTATGTTCTGCCTGTCTGTGAGGGGTCTGGCCTCCCACAACAGTCACCAGAAAGGAGATGCCAGAGGAGACAAATGTTTTAACACCTCCTACAGTGTTTAATTGATTTCAGTTACAGCTGGATCAGGGAGCTGCTAATGGCCTGTGAAACCATCAAGAAGAGAAGTTTAATTTGAAAAAGAAATGTCCGAGGGCTGCTTGATGCCCTAGTTGAACAAGTGGATTTTAGGGGTGAGCTTAGGTATCATTTGTAACATTAGTAAGGAGCAGCTCCTGCCATACATCTGCAGGCTGCTGGTCACTGAGGGTCACTGGGCATTTTCAGATATTTGGTGTACCTTAAAATACCTCAGACATCCACAAGAAAGTGGAAGATAGAAGTGGCTCCTCCTAAGAGTGGAGCTTTAATCTAACGAGAAGCAGCTGAGGGAAATGGGGCTGTTCAGCCCGGAGAAAAGGAGGCTCAGGGGAATCTTGTTGTTCTCTACAACTCCCTGACAGGAGGGTCCAGCCAGGTTTGGGCTCTTCTCCCAGGTTACAAGTGGTAGGAGGAGAGGAAATGGATTTCAGTTGCATCAGGGGAGGTTTAGATCGGATATTAGGAAAGGTTTCTTCACCAGAAGGATTGTCAGGCATTGGAACAGGCTGCCTGGGGAAGTGCCTGTGTCACCAGCCCTGGAGGTATTTAACAGATATTTACAGGTATTTAACAGCTGTGTAGATGTGGCATTTAGGGTGAACCCCTTGGATGTGGCAGTGCTGGGATAATGGCTGGACTCGATGCCCTTAGAGGTCTTTTCCAACCTAAATAATTCTGTGATTCCATAGGACACAGCACATATGTGAGATCTGTGGACCATGCAGAGGACTCTGGAGGGCAGGTGAGACACTCTAGCCCATCTCAAATGACTTGCTAAGTTATGCATGAGCAGCTGATTCAATCTCCAAAAGGGATCCTCCACAAATCATCTATTCCTGTGTCACTATTTTAATTTGGCTAACCCAGGAGTAGAAGAATGTGAGTCTGAATCTGTGCTCTTGTCTTTAAATTCCTAAACCTACAGAGCTTGAGATGCTTTTATTTGAAGAGTCCCCATTAATTTCTGCCTGAATCATGCCAGTTTGTCATGCTGGCGTTTTTGTGCTGCGGGGAGGAAGAACAGTGTGAAGCACAGGGCAGTCTTGGGGCTATAAAGTGGATATCAGATACTGTTTTTCATTGAAATTCCACTATTTCCTGGTGCATAGCAAGGAAATCACCGTAAAAATCACCACCCAGAATCCAGAATGTCATGGCCTGTGTGCACCTGTTTACAGAAAATGGTGAAAGACACAGATTGCTTCACTTATTGGACTACTGTGAAGTCCTTGCATATTCTGGCTTGAAAATTTGTATGAAACCATCCAGAAAAAAGGTTTAGATGTGACAGATTTATGTGGAACTGAAAAGCATGAGAGAGAAAACTCAAGAAAACCAAGAAAAAGATCAATAAATGAAATTTTTTTTCCTATAGTGTACAATTAAGACTAAAAATGCAATAAATTTTGAAAAAAAGGTTATCCATGACATGGATAATATTTCTTACATGGCTCTGGACACCTAGGAGGTGGTGTCAAACTTCTTGCTGCAGGATTAGAAATAAATAATAAGCACCAGATGAGAAGCAGCTCATTTCACTCTGGTGAGGGACTCGGCACTTGTGTCCTGCCCCTGTCACTGGCCCTTGTCAGGGGTGGCTCTGGGACTAGATGTGCCTTATCCCAATGCAGAATAACAGTTTCCTGGGTCAGGTGAGAACCAAGAGCATTTTACATCCCTCTTCAGTGTTGTTTAGGTATAGTGAACAGTTCCTGCCTGGTGGGAATGTTCTGACTGCAGATTAGGTGTGTATGGGAGATGGTAAATGCTCTGTCAAACACGGTGGATGAGGACTGAATAAAACACCATGGGAAGTGAGGAGCACTGCATTGATGAGGAAGTGATTATTTGACCAAGAGAGAGCTTAATTACTCTTGTAACTTTTGCACATTCCCCTCACCTTGTCTTGTTCCTTAGCAATAAAAGAAAGAACATTTCCCCTGTTTTACATGCACCCACCACCGTGCTAGCCAAAATAAACCAGTCTGATTAAATTCTGAGGTGACCTCCTGAGCTGTGTGAGATACAGTTTTAGTTTCTTTCCTTGTATTGGTATTATATCTATATTTCTTGTAGTTTAAGCGTTTAATTCAAATATTAGCATTTACTTAATCTTCCCCTGGCTTGTTCGGTCACAACCATGAAATTTAATCAATTGGTGATAAGACATGGGGCAATAGTTCCAAACTGAAAGAGGGTAGGTTTAGACTGGACATAAGGAATAATTTTTTATAATGGAGGTAGAGGGACAATGAAACAGTGACCAGAGAAGCTGTGGCTGCCCCATCCCTGGAAACATTCAAAGTCATGCTGGATAGGGCTTTGAGCAACCTGGTATAGGGATTAGATGATCTGTAAAGACCCTTTCCAACCCAAAGCTTTAATTAAAGGGGAGCCCTAGTTAGCTAATCACAGCCCTGCACTGTTGCAGCACAGACCAGTCACTGCTTTCCTTTGTGCTCACCATCATGTGTGTGCTAGAGGTGGCAGAGAGGATGCCCTCAGTGATGAATCTGTAGCAAACCCAACAGAAAATGCCACAGTTCTTTTTATTGGCCAAAAATAAACTAGTATGTCTCATAAAAAGGGGAAAGCTTGCATAAAGCTTGAATGCACTGGAGAAGAATAAACATCTTCTTCCATTACTGGCAGGTGTCTTAAGCAGCAATTTCACAGCAACTTATAGAGGTTAAAAATATTTCGTTATTTGGCCTAAGCTTAAATACACTTTTTTGGAAGTGCTTGGTATTTGCTGATCTCTGGCACTACTGAAATGGTTTCTATGGTATGTTACTTCTGTGAAATGAGGAGAGAGTTTTACTGTGCTGGTTTCTTAAAACTGGGTAGTTCCCCACAGGGTCAGGAAAGAACAGCTCAAGGCTGATAAAAAGAAGAAATGTAGTCTAGCAGTTTGAAGGACTCAGTTGTTATCAAAAACTTTCTTTTAACTATGTTTAAATTTATAAGATGCTTTTCAGCAGGGAAAAATAAGGAATAAACAGTTCTTCCTGTGCTGTAGGCCCTGGGGGAAAGGCATTGTGCTCTAATGACCTACAACTCACAAACCCGAGTAGACTAAAGCTGCTAAGGGAAAAAAATATATGATGTTTCTCTTTTTGATGTTCTTTGCCAGCAGGGAAAAAATGATGTAAATATTTGTGTTCTATTGACACATTTAGTCAAAAGCCTGAGGGACAAGCTTTCAGATGGCAGAGTGTTATATAGGATAAAATCAGGCAACTGTTTTCTATGGAACTTAAACTTACCCACAGATAATGAGAGATCCAGCCTTGTTTGGACTGTATCCCAAAAATCTGGCTAGTGCAGGTGCATGTGGTGCAGTTTATAGACATCTTATGAAGCAGGGATGCAGTGAGAAAGGGGAGTCCTATTGATATTTCTGGCTTGAAGGGTATTTTTGCAAGTGCTGCTTAGTGCTATCCTCAGATATTGTCAGTGTCTGGTATTTACATGGGACACTTTTTGGTCCTAAATCCCCAGTAGACATATCCTAACAGTCCTAGGGTTTGAAGTCGGCTCTGCTCTAGAAATCCTCTCTGTCCTTGGGCATTCAGTGGGGTTTTGCTGTATAAATTCTGCCCATAAAATGAGAACTGTTATCTATTTATTCTGCAACCTCTTTGAGACAAGCATTGTCTCTTGCTATATGAATATACAATGCTTTGCATAATGGAGTTTAATCTGAGTTTCTTTAAGGTACCTCTGTTGAATAATAATGATTAATCAAATTGAGTAAATAGTATTTAGAAAAAGATAAAATGAGTGCAATGGTTTACTTTTTTCTTCATAGGAAATGAAATGCAGAATTGATTGGAACTGAATAGCAGCACCTATTTAAAAGTGATGAAAGAAACTTTTTTACATACTGCAATATTAAACTTTCAGTCTTATTGAAAACTCTTACTAGGGTTTGCATTTCAGCTGAATGAAGGAAATGATTCTCAGTGTAAGTCATTTGTGGGTATTTTTCCTGATCTCAACCCAATGTCCATCCTGTCAATGAATGCTCACCGTGGAGACATACACAGGCTTGCTTGTGAATAGGTGCAGCACATCTGTCTCCCCACAGTCTGTCTTCTCACAGCGAGAAGGATGGATGGTGAATTAACAAGGTACAGGTAATTTGGTAGGAATAAGACAAGATGTGTGACTCAGATCTATGGATGTGTTTAAATGTCCATATAGTCTCAGTGGGGTAGGATTCACCTCTGGTTCCTTCACACCTTGAGCACCCCAGTCCACCCCACAGCCTGAGCCCACTTGCCTTGGACATTTCCCCTTTTTCAGGGTGCTGTCCTTCTCACTGCACTGGCACAGCAAGTCTAGTAATCAAAGTAGATGAGATGCAATTTTTCAAGGCTGGCATCAGGAAATTATTCTGTAATTACATAGCACAGACACAAGAATCAAGCCTACACTTAATAATTCGAGTACTTCTGTGATAGCAGGAAACCTGACATGTCCTGACTGAGCTCTCTGGGTGCCCTTGCTGTTTAAGTGCAGCTGTTACAGCACCATCCCTGTCTTTAATTAGGCTGCTGTAATAGGAATGTGTGCCTTTGTAAACTGTGATCCCACTGCTTTCTGGGGCCTGGTCACATCCTTCCTGCTGTGGATGGCTGAGGAAACCTCCTCAGCAGCTCTGAAATGGTCCTTCCCAGCAGGCTTCTCAAGCACAAGCATTGTTCTGCATTTTGGCATAAGGTTGGAAGCTGAAATAGCTGATCTTTTTCAGCAGTTTTCTGAAACACAAAACCCCACATATAGTGAGGATAGGGGGTTCCCTCCATTTCCATTCTCTCCCCCTCATATTTGAATTTTTCCCTTTATATTCCTTGGCACAGGAAGTATAAAAGGCAAGTAGAGGAATAACTTCAGCAGCTCATTTGCAGGCTCAGTGATGTTATGGTTGAGCACAGCCTGTGAAAGTGGCAGAAGGTGTTCTGAACCATCCAAACACACCTGCTGTCCTGGCTGCTATAAACAGCCCTGAAGAGCCAAACACTATTACACTTCCTGAGTAGAAAAAATGCTCCTGACTTGGCCTCCTGCAGCCCAGCCACATCTGTTCTCTTCCAAACACTGAAAGCAAGAGGAAAGTCGAGGTGATGCAGGAGGCACTTGAGTGCAGAGGATGGGATGCTAACGTGTTAGTGAGATGACACATTCACCTTCCTCTTGGTGCTTAGATTAGAACATTTCTTGATGAAGGGACTGCTTCTAATGATGTGCATAAGGTGTTTTGGAAAATGGGGTCTTGTGCAAGACTGAATATAGCTCATCATGAAAATTAGGGATGAGAGTTATTATGAATCTTTATTGGCAGTGGAATTTTGGTACTGGATAAAATACATGAATCTTAAATAATGGAGGCTGGAGAAAAGAACTTTGCAGGAAGAAAGGGGAAAAAATCAGGAGCTTCATCAGAAGGAATTATTAAAAGGCAAAGGGAAACTTCTCTCATCCAGACAGGGAGAACCAGAGGCAACTGTGAATTTGGGGTTGATTCTGAAAGGTGATGAAATCTATCCAGCTCTCATTGCTTTCATGTCAGATGTTCAGTAAGCCAAGAACTGGACAGAATAGGGTTATAAAATAGATTATTGCAAGGTTGGTTATTAGCCTCATTTAAGTCTTGCACCTCATATATTTGTGTTTCATGTAACTGGAAAGCCCATGAATGAGGAGGTAATTCTCAGATAACATGAATCACTAATTTACAGCAGCTCCACTAGTGATAAGATCTGACCCATACAGATTTTGTTTAGAAATATAATATGCCTATTCAGAAATATTTTTAAAAAGACATAACTAGTTGACAGTAGTTGAAAATTTTTAAAGCTTTCTTGTTATCCCAGCTGTAATTATGATGAAGTCCATGGCATCCTTAAGCAACAGATAAGCTATATCTGAGAAAAGTGTCTTGTCTTTCAGAGCAGACATTTCTGATGCAAACTGGAAAACTACAGGCATTGAAAACACTAATGAGAACACAGAGAAATAGAGTCCTTGTTTTGGACTGTGAATTTGGCATAGTGCAGGTCTGGTGAGTGGACAAAGGTGAGGTGCTAGCCAGATGGGGTGAGTGCAACAAGTTTCCATTTAGCAGAAAAGAATCCTGCATTGCTAAAAGAGAGTTACAGAGGCTTTAGAAAGTGCCATGAACAGTTATTCACTTGCAAACACAGATGATGACATTCCCAAGAGTACTGACTTGTTATACTGGAAGGAACAAGGTACATGAAGAAAGAGCTGGCTCTGAAAGACAGCCCACCTGGGAGGGCTGGAAATTCCCACTTTAGCTGAGTCTGGC